ACACAGCTGGGCTCGGTGAAGAGCAGTATAACTAAGGAGTGACGGTGATGCGACAATATTTATATGTGCAGGCGGAGCCTGACATCTGTCGTCATCACGTCACCTGCCTAAAGGCGTGATTAGAGGTGGCTTCAGCCAGGACACGCAGGGGCGTGGTTCCCATACATGATGTTGTACCGAGTGAATTGACTGAAAGGGAACCAAATATTCATTCAGTTCAATAGCATTGCTCTCAATATTTAGGAAAACAAGGTGTACTATTCTAACTTTGGTGTGCTTTATTGTCACCTGAGCTCTGCCATTTTGGCTTCAGGAAGCGGGGGTTTGGGAGGGGCCACATCCTCATCTTGTAACTCAGGGGTAGCCTCTGCAGGAGGAGCTGCTGGAGCCATCTTCTTTGAGACCTCCTGCTCATGATCTTTCAGGGGTTTCTCTGCTGACACACTGCTGCATACATAAAACCGTCTGAGTAAATGAAATACTTTGAAGGCCTGTTTGTATTCATGCAAGCATGCTTTGTTCCCACCTCTCTGCTGCGGTAACGGGGGGTGCTGGTTTGTTTGGGGTGGTGGGCGATGGATGCTCCTGTTTCTCAATGGTCAGTTTCACTAATTCCTGTGTGCAGAAGGAAAACACTACTCTGTGAATGTACCGTGACAAGACATTTCCAGCACTGCCAACACCAGCACAAAGGACATTACCTTTACTCCATCCAGCACTGCTTTGATCACATTCTTGACGGAGGCCACGTTTTCCTGGTCGTCCAAATCGATGCCATCTAGCATCACCTGGTCGGCCCAGCGGATGAGGTTGGCGAGACTCTGATACACACGACTATGGCAAGAAGACAGCGCCGAACTATAGAAACAGTGGGAGATGGAGGTAGGGTGATGGAATACGGGACAAAACCGTGGGAAACAATGTAGAAGAAAAGTCAGGAAGAACCAAAAAACAGGATGTATGAGGATGATAATTATGGTGTACAGGGGATTAAACAACAGGTGCAGAAAAGAGAAGAATTTAGGATACAAACAGTGAGGTGTGGAGAAAATTAAAATGGACTTGTTAGTAAAGAATAATCACAAAAACACAACTGATTTTAATTTATCTCCCATCTATTCAACTGTCCATTTTGAAGGCATTTGTTGGGGAACTACAGAAACACTCAACTAAATTTGGGAATTTTACGAAAGCCAACAGGAGCATGTAAAGCCACATGGGGAAGCTAGGTGTTGTTTCTCCAAGTAGTTAATTGTATATTCAGACCTAACATTAAGGTGTGGCAAAAGCCTGTATCAACGTGCTGCAGTTGATTCACTCTGCAAAAATACCCATCTGCTGTCTCTGCAGGACTTATCCCTAAAGTGAGCAGGAGACAACAAAAGTTACCGGAATTAGAAGGAGGGTTTTGAGGAATGGAAAGATATGCACTACAGGTTACATTCCAACTGGGTGTATTGTACTTCTAATAAATAAGGCAGCATGAAGTGCCCTGTCAGTAGGACAAAAGTTTGTAGTCTGCAGAGAGAGAGAGCATTACGCCAGCTTTTTTTTTTGGCAAATGAGCACTTTATTCAATCCACACTGCAGTATTCAGGAGTTGCACTCACTGCTGGCCTTGTTATTTGAGCAATATTGACTTAAATTGCTGTAAACAATCCAACAGAGCAGACTTCCATGTCCGTTTAGCAATTGGCTTTTTATCCAAAAGAATCAGGGCAAACTATAAATAGACAGAAATGATATTTTAACTTGCATAAAACTTCAACTATGATTTATTAGGACTTCTTGCAAATGAAGTCAAATCCTCATTCATGGCAGATTCTGTGTGGCAGCAAGAATTCATCAACTGCTTCTTAAGACATGGTTAAGAAAAGTCACTTCTGACCTCCATACCTTCATCAGATCTGACTGATAGGGGAAAGCACAAAGACAAGACAGAGAAGTTCCAACATGTCCTGACAATCCACACAAAACAGCAGCTAGGGTTTCTTTCATAGGAGGAGTTTAGTGAATGAACTGACTCACACTGAGCCTGAATGGTAATCTCTTTTCCTCAAAATTAAGACTGTGAATAATGTGACATCAGCAGCATCACGTACTGTAAATGTGGTGTGTTATAGCTTAAGGCATGAAGTACGAGAAGCCTTGAAGTGACTGATGTTATCAGACATCAATTTTCACTATTAGTAAGCCAAAGCAAGTACGTATCATGCAGTCAGATATGGTTTAAATTATGTCACGAGGCAAGAATGATAGCAATGAACTATACAACATCACAAATAGATAGCATAAGATTATAGCTTGTTGTAAGAAATGCCAATTAAAAAACTCCTGTAGTTCAGGGAATGTCATCTTTAAGAAACTGACCCACATTTTTCATCTAGAGTTCTTACAAAAGCTTGTGACTCACCTATGTTGTATCCGTGCTTCCACCTGAACCAGAGGCAGGATTGCTTCAAGAACCTTGCTGGCAGAGCCTGGTAGCATTTCCAGCACTTTCCTCTCCACCATCATTTTGTCCACGATTGCCTTGAAATACTTCAGAGCACTGACCACTTCTTTCTCATGCTCCTCAAGTCTGTTAACCTTCTAATGACAAAAAATAAAAATAAATAAATAAATAAATAAATAAATAAATAAATAAATAAATAAATAAAAATTATAATAATCACAAAATAAGCTTTACAGATATTTATATTTTCCAACTTTTTATATATAAAATATGACAAGACAACATATTTAGATTTAGAACAGTCTAGGTCAGGTCTGCCATCTGCAGCTCTAGGGCAACACATGCTTCTGCAGTGGCAATGATCAAAAATAACATGCAAATAAAGATGTTTAAATTTCATAAAAAATTGTATATTTAGATGTGTTTTATTAGCCTATTGGCCACTTCACTATTCAAACTTCCAGCCACACATTCTTTTTCTGAAATCCACTAAAGCAGCATTTTTATAGCTTAAAGTCAAGTTACTTAGAAGAAAAACTTTTATAATGTAACAAATAATTTTTATATGCAGTTTTATTATGACAGTAAGTAGTTTTCTTTATTTTAGGTGTCTAGTGAAGAGATGACTACACTCACTGACCAGAAAAGGTCTCCCATCAGGCTGGGTGGCCTGCAAGACCACCAGTTGATTATCACTGTTCTAGCACATTTTACAGCTCTGAACAGATTGCTTTTGAAAAAGAAGGGGCCGACATATTTCTTTTGATTGTAAAAGTTGTAGACCCCTGCTTTAGGTTCTTCAGTTTTTAGTTCGGTTATTCCCATGATTTGCTCAATGTTTAAAATATCTCTCCACTGATCTGGCCTCAGTCTCTCTTCCTTCTATTCACATGCAGTGTTTCCCCTAGGAAATTGGTCTTGGGGGGGATGGGTGCGCTACTTGTTTTATGAAAACATAAATTTACGTGACTCACCTTCAATTATGGTAATAAATTTATACATACATGAATATTTAATTGCCTAACTACATCCTAGTTAAGGACTCCTCATGATAATTATTAATAATAATTTATCGTAGCAAATTTTTATTGATAATAAGTGATCAGAACTGTGTGCAGCAGATGATCTGAGTCCAGAGTTCTCAGTTTGAAACCTTCTGGAGCTCTTCTTTGTGACTCTAGGTGTGACAGAGTGTGGATGGTTGATTGTCTCTTTTGTGTCCCTGATGGAGACTGGAGACCTGTTCAGGTGTCTCTGGTGAACTGGAGACCTGTCCAGGTGTCTCTGGTGAACTGGAGACCTGTCCAGGTGTCTCTGGTGAACTGGAGACCTGTCCAGGTGTCTCTGGTGAACTGGAGACCTGTCCAGGTGTCCCCTGCCTTCACCCTAAGGCAGCGAGGACAGGTTCCAGCCCCACCCTGACCCTGATTAAGAACATGGAGGAGGATTTTTCTTTAAAGCAGGAAACAGACATTTAATTATAAAACATGATTTATTTTATGTTAATCTGAATCAGTTTARTGTTGTTTGTAAATATATTTGACAGTTTTGTAGGAATGAACAAGTTTGTAATGTTTGTTCAAAATAAACCTGCTTCTTATGACTTCTGTAACATGTTTTAAATAAAATATTATCAGTAAAAAAAACTCAAATCATGTCCTTTCTAAGAATTAGAACTCTCTTGTAGATATAAAGGATAACATTTAGAAAATGCAATTATGCAACTATCAAAAAAATGTCCTCTCAGTCACTGAAAATAATTTATTTACCACATTTTAAAGACTTTGATTATTATCTGGGCCCTTAAGGGTTAATGCTCCTGAATGGGACTTTCTGACCTGCGGTGTGTGACAGAGAGGAGAGGAGCTTGATGTTTGAGTCCAGCAGGACCTGTACAGCAGCTGATTCTGTCTGGATTTGAGTTTACAAACTACTCTGGTTAGTTTTTTTCAAAGTTGAGGGACATTACAGCTGCGCTGCTGATCAGCGCTATTTATAGAACATGAACGGACTCGCGGGAACCTGGTCGCACGCGGGGTCTGTTATGGTGATTCTAAATGATTGAACAGGTAACAGTGCTGTGGTTTCACCTGTCGCATTTTATTGTAAAGAAAGAAAAAGTAGCTTGCAAAGTTGTTGCATCGGTGCAACGTGATTAAAAGCAGAGTTTTCATCGCGCGCGCACACGTCTTCCTATCTTTGTGAGGACCACAGACAGCACTCAGCCTCACTCTGCACTGTCTTTTTTCCCCAAGTTTGGTGAGAGGTGGATATGGAGGGACGCAAAAAATAGCTCTGGACTTGATCTGGACTTATTTAAATAAAAATGACTACATGCCGTGAAATTCTTAGAGGGGCGGGCCGTCTCGGTAGGGGAAACACTGACATGAGCTTCTTTAGTATTTCAAGACTAGTGGGGAATACACTCATTATACCCAAACCAAAAGAGGCCAGAACGGAGGTATTCATTCAGGAAGCACATTCATTCATTTAGACACCTGCTGAAGTGCAGCCAGAATTCACAGCGATGAGGAGACAGTGAGAAGCAGCAGAGAAGTTTACACACACACACATGCACGCATGCACACACAAAACAGAATACAGCAACACTGCGCATTAGACAGGAAAACAATGGTCTCACAAAAAGGCCAACAAACACACAGACAAGGTGGTAAAGAGACGCATTTCCCATGATACATGTTTTTGCACACACCTTGTTAGCAGGTTTCTCAGTACTCTTGGCTGCCGTCTCGGTCTGCAGCTGCTTTCGATTTTTGGATGGAGTCCTCTTGATCTTGGGCGAGTGGAACTTGTCCTTCAATATCATGGTCAAAGTGGACAGATGGGACCGTTGCGAGTCTGCAGACAGAAGGAAAATGAAGGAAGTGGAGTGGTCAGTCACAGAGTAAACATGCCTGGGGGAGCAAGAAATGATCTATAAACAGATGGCACAGGCTCAGTGAAGCGCACAATGGTGCTCTTCTAAAATTGAGCTCAATTGATGAGTTTTATCTGGACACCAGTCAGATACTAGAACAAAGCTGGAATTTTAAGACAAGAATACAGCAGAGAGTTGGTACTGAACTGCAGCCTCTGCATTTTTATCTTTTTTTTGTTTTGTTTTGTTTTGGACATAAATCTGCTGGCCAGGCTCCTTTATGTCTGTGTATGAGACAATCACAGAGCAGACAAGTGTGGATATAATAAAACACTTTATTTAGAACTGAGATGAAAATCACTCCATGTTACCCTTCTGACAGCAGCTTCTTAACAGCCGAGTAATTTGGCAGTTTGATGTGTTCATTGTAGAGAGTGACAGCTGCATCAAAAGACAGCATAGTTCCCCGATTCCGTTCGTTCTACAATAATTGTTCGCTTGCTCATCGTCTGCCTTCACCTCTTTGTCCCTCCCTCTGTCTGCACACAAAAGTAAATCAGGAGATACAGTAAATGCTAATAACAGCAATGGGAATCAGCAGGAAGCATGTTTTTTTTTTATCAGTGATAAAATTACACTTCTAGTTGCTGTAATCTCCCCTCAGCTTGGTGACAGTGGGAGCCAGCATTCCACGGCCATCAGCGTAAAAACAACAAGTGCTGAGCGGCAATCAACAGCAGGAAAACACCACAAACCGGTTTTCCAGCTGGGCCATTCTTTCATCTTCACCATCGATCAACATGCCACGCACATATCCATCCGGCTGTTCTTTCTCTCCCTCCCTCTAATCCTCCTCATCCCCTTACCCCGAGCAAAAAGCCAAAGATCGCTGAGGCAGCCAGAGACGACTGTGTCTCATTAAAAATGTTGATGAGAATGCTCCCAGAAGAGCTTCCTACTGATAACAAGATATGAGAAAGGATAGGAGGAATGTGTGACCCTTCAGTTTCCTGTTTAAGACTGCATTTTAAAAAAAAATCTCTGCTGTGCAAAAATAAGCAACACAGACTGCTTTGTAATAGGAATGTGCGATATGGCAAAAAATTCATATCACGATATACATTATGATGAGTGGCGGTAACGATATATATCACGATACAAAACTTATAATAGAAAATAAATAAATCACACATTAATTGAGTGGAATAAACATGTATAGGTAAAAAAATTTAGACCTTAAAATCTCCGTTTTTAAGGGACACTTTAAAGTCTCCCATAAAAATCTAAACTTAAGAGAGCTCTACCTGGTTGAATCAAAAAGAAAAAAAATATATATATACTGTATATATATAAAMWCACACACACACACACACACACACACACACACACACACACACACACACACACACACACACACTATAACTTTAATGTAATRGATATCTGCATCCATTGGATGTTGTGTTTGGAATCACCMGTTTCGTTTTAAGGTGGTAAAACAAATTGCTTGTATTTATTCCTTTCTACACACTTTGCAGATTATTTTTTCTGTACTCCACATGTTATTCTGTGCGCGCTCTGGCAGGGTTACAATCATCCCGTTTATGCTTTACCTTTTTTTTTTTGGAAAGACAGTAGTCTACCGGCCAACCGCGCAATTCTTTTTTGATGATGTAACCTGCTGGAGTCAAACAGAGGAAGCGGGAAGCAGCCTGGCTGAGAGCGCAAATGAAGTGGGGCGGGGGACATAACTTATCCGGACCTGGTTCGGGTGTGTGAAAATAAACGCCGAACTGTTTACGTGATGGTGCGTACTCCGGTCGGCTGCCTACCGACCACACTGCCTGATGCGGGAGGAGCGTGCGCCGCAGCACATGGTGACGTAGTGAGGTGAATGTCAGTGCAGGTGAAGTAGTGCTCCAGGACGCACAAAAGCTCGCTGAGTCTGGACCTCGTTTCTCCTGCGGTCATAGCGCGACGCCGCATGGCCAAATGCGCGCGCACTCCAAAGCACGACTATAAAACTCAGCCTTTACTGTTTCCTTGTACAGCGGGGAAGCGCTGTGGGAAAGGGTGACAGTCAGACAGATCTCTATCATAGGACAAATTTATATCGTTTAAATCGCGCATTCCTACTTTGTAAGCATGAGTAACTTGTGTTGCAAAGCTGATTTAATGAACTAGAGTTACTGGAAACCGGTCTCATTGAACTTCATTACTTTTAAATCACATTTGACCTAGTTTTTATTTTCCAAATAGGTCAAATCAGACATGTACATGTGTAAGCCAAAACTATGCCCCAACATGCTTCTGATGTGATACAAAGTAGTTTCAGGTATTCCAAAAATGTTAAATTTTCTATTTTATCAGAAAACAAAACACAATATAATCCTGAGGGACAGAGACAGTTGTTTCTTTATGATGAGTTGTGTGTTACTTTGTGATGGGTAAAACTAACAGTGAAAGCTAAAAACAAAACACCATCTAGTTCAAGGGAAGACAACAAGCAATAGTTTATCAGAGTGGACTAGTATCTGGACACAGTGAAGACCTAAGAAAAACTCTCATCAACAGATGTCTGGAATGATGCATTGTAGCCTATCCACAGGGGATGTTGTGCAGCTTTGGTGCACCTAGATAAAGCTATTAATTACATATTTATGACTAGCAGTTTCAGAGGGATTTTTACTTTTACTTTTGTACCTCTAGGTAAGATAAAAGTTTGTTTTCCAAAAGTCAAGTTGCTATGCTGGTGGGATTTTATATTACAGCAATGTGCAGAGGAATTACTGTTCTTTTGATTAAAATAAACCTGATAATTACTGCTTATCACCAAAATCCTAATGTGGAGGGCAATATTTTTGCTGGTGTGTGTATATTTCCAAAATATTTCATGAGCCACTGGACAATCCATAGACCATACCATACCAAACCATCGACAACTGACCTTAAACAAGAACACACATACACACACAGATATATATATCTCAGTCAATTTTGCAGATACTGACCTAAAATTATGTCTGGCAGTAGCTGACACAGGGCTCAAATACATGTTCTGAGCACTAACTGTTCAAAGTTTTTGTTTTGATTGCTCAAAGTTTTTGTCTTGTTTTGCCAAGATATCCGTTGATAACTGTCTGTTAGCAAAATGTCTAATTAACCATTGAATAAGTTTTATTGAAACTTTCTAGAAAAGGATCACTGGATGTTGTTGTGAATTAGTGTACCTTGCCCCTCGCACAGTGAATGCTGGACATGGGCACCAGTGACCCAAAAAACCCAAAAGGAAAAAGCAAGTAAAGATGATGGATGGATGAATGGATGGATAAAAATAATTGCTACAGCCAGCTGACCTTGGTAAACAAAAAATGGTATAGTTCAGATGTTCCTATAGATAACTGAGAAACAATCTGATGCAGTTGTAGCCAAGTCATTCAAAATGCATAGGGTTAGGTTAGGTTAGGGTTGTCCTTTCCCAACCTAAGATGATGTCAGTTTAAAATGCTGACATGAAAGATGGCAGGCAACAAGCATCTTTAAAATAGTTTTCATTTTAAATCTGTTAACTTTTTACCCATCAAAACCACAGGGCCTAAACCTACCATCACAGTTTGCTGTAAGCTTCAATCGCCTTTGCAATGTGTCTAAAGTTGTAGTTGAGGGAATGACATTAAAACACGATATAAAAGCTCAAAAATGTCAATTTAGCAAAACACCCCCCTTAAGTTCTAAATAAATGATAATGGCGAATATCTAAAATCTGACTGGCAACCTTAAACAGTGAGGTATTTAGCAAGGAAACTACTCCTGTATGCATAAAAATTGCTTACACAATTTTGTAAACATTGTCAAAATTCAATCTAAACACTTTAGACTGAGTCTCTTCAACAAAACCTGAGATATTCTTCACCACTTGGTGCAATCATAAAATCCCTAGAAGCTTTTGAGCTGATTAACTCAAAGACTTTGTTCCACAATAAGCAAACATCCACACACACAAGGGTTGTAAATGTGTGGATGATCCAGGGAGAACACACCATAACTGTTAAATGCCTTGCTTTTAAATCAATCAGGTATGTATTTCACATCCTATAACTGATTTAACAAACCTCCACATTTAATTCTGATGCCTTATAATGCAAAAAACACCTTTCCAAAATCAGTGTCCTTTCTGCAAAAACAACCACTTTGGGATTTCCCTAACAACTGTAGTAACACTAGATAATCTGCAGATCTTCTCAGGCAACAAGATTCCATAAGACAAGGTTTTTTTAAAGCATCTAACTCAATGTGTTTTTAAACAAAAATGGGACTTTTTTTGGATGGCTCATTCAGACGACTCATCTGTATTTTTTCCCTAATGCCAAATTAATGGATGAGACACTTCTTACACCCTGAAGGCATTTACATCTTGTAATTGTATCTACTACTGGTTGTTCCATCTACTTAATAATATGTTTTGTTCCAAGTTTTTTGGTGAACAAACGTTGTTCTAGTTGTTGACACGAATTACTGGTAATGTGTATAACTAGTAGGGCTGCAACGATAAGTCAACACAATCGACTACGCCTATTATAAAATAAGTCAATGTGGCATTTTAATGTTGAAGCATCGTATTACTTACCCACTTAAATGTTTATTTGTAACTGCAATGTAATCCACAAACTGCTGGGGGTAGAATCACTTCTATTGTTTGTAGGGATGCACTGATATGAAAATTTCAGCCGATATCAATATCCGATATAATTATTGGTGTTATGGCCGATAACCGATATTTACCGATATTACACAAACATACAAGTTATATTATACATATACGCAAAAACACACTTGGGTCTTTTTTTGACACTGTAAATAAACAACTAGATCTCTGACATGGCTCCCTACTTCAGTTATTCCTGGCTGCGCAGCGTCATTATCACTATCACGATCAAACAGATGCTGCTCAATCAACCATCTCGCCCCCCAAAACAGAAACACA